GCTCCTCCTGCCTGCAGCTTTAACCGAGGCCTCTATGCCCGGGGGCTCCCCCCGGGCCTCTGTGAGGGGCTGCCCCAGGAGGCAGCAGGCCCGTGCTTCTGACCAGAGACTGCTCCTGCCAGGCCCTGCTCCACTTGCTCTGCTGGCCTCCCTCTGCCGGGTAGACACCACGTTTGGAAGGGCAGAGAAGAGATGAGCATCTCTCCTGCGGGAAAAGGGTTCAGGATGAGGGTGGTGCTGACCCCGTGCAGACCCCATCATTGAGATCTGCTAGGGGTTCTCCTCTGGGATGGAAGCTCTCCCTAGGCCATGAGCCCTGGCCCTCTGGCCTCTGGTCCTCACCTGAAAGTTGCAGTGACATGGGCACGGGCTCCAGGGATCACATAATGAGGCAGACTCCAGTCTGCCCTGCCCGGCAGTGGGAGCTGCCACCAGCCTTCACAGGCACCATGACCTCTGATTTGAAATTCCTGGAAAGGAAATGAAGCAGAAGTCTTTGAAGTATCTGAGGAAGGGAGAAGCTCTGGAGGGAGGCGGGGAGTTCTCTGAGCCTACGGCATCCACTCAGCTCTCCCTTCAGGAGGTTCAGAAAGTTCAAGCCTCTGCAGAAAAGACATACAAGACAACCAAGTCCCGCCAACCTCTTCCCTCCTCCAAAACACAGAGGCCCTGGAAACTCAAGGAATCTAGTGCCACCACTTACGTGTACCCTACAGTTTTCTGTAGGCTTTTATAATCTAAATTGTAGATTTAGATTATAGTACCTCTGGGAGGCAGGCTAAGTCAACCCATTTTACAGATGTGCAAACTAGAGGCAGAGACATTGACTGGCTTGCCAATGAGACAGTCACTGACAGTCAGTGAGTGACAGGGACAGAAGTGGGCATTTCCCAGGCCCCCTGATGCAGAGCTCTTCCTGCTTTCTAGAGCTGCCTGAAGCAGGAGAGGCTTTCCTGTCAATTGCTGTCATCTCTCTTGCCTGAGTTCTTTCAGAGTCAGGCTGAGCAGGGCTGGGTCTGTCTTTGGCTGCAAATACGTACTGTTTTTTGTTGGCCTTTTTGAGGAGTGTGGGCTCGGAGCAGCAGGAGGACTTCCCTTTGCTCCCAGTGCTCAGGCAGCTAGAGCAGCAGCCGCAGGGCCGGGCAGCCAGGGGCCCCTGTTGCATGGGCACCAGGCTGCTGCTGATGCGGAGGGAGCCGTTGACGAGGCAGTTGAGGGACCTGCCACCAGGGGCAGTGGGCCGGCGGCCGTGCTGGCAGGGCAGCCGGGTCAGTGCTGGGAGTGCCACACTCTGGTCCAGGACGGGTGCTTCGGTGATGGTGACCTCAGGGGAGCTGGGTGTAGAGGCCTCTGAGGCTTGAGTGACAGGCGGCCTGTTCTCCACCTCGGGGCGGACGCCCGGGCTGTGCAGGTTCATGTGCAGTTTCCTCATGTGATGGACCACTGCTGCGGCGTTGAAGGCTTGCTGGGGAGACACAGGAGCAGCTGGGGGCCGACCACATCCTCGGAGGGCCGCAGGTCTGAGCTTTCCCTTTGCCTTCTGGCCTTGTGAAACGAGGGTGCCCACTTCTCCTTTCACAGAACCCCAGTGCCTGTGGTGATGCCCCAAGGAAAGCCCTTATGCCAGCCCCTGCCGGCCCAGCCTGCAGGGGCCCAGGCGGCCTGCTCCCCCGGAGAGGACAGCTTACCCTCCACTTGCTCTTAGCAAAGTTCTTCTGGATTTGGAGGCTGACTGATGGGTAGATGTCCCGGTGGAGGGCTGTGTTTCCGTCAATCCTGTGGACGCAGGAGGGGACCCCTCACTACTAGGTGGCAACGCACACTCCACCAAGGGTGGGCATGGTGCTTGGCGGGCCTGGCTAAAACTGAGTAGAGTGCCCAGGAGAAGGGCAGCCCACGGTAGGAAAGGGTGGCAAGCCGGGGCCCTCTCTCTGCTGGTCAGGTCGTAGTGGGCTCATGCTTTGGCAAAACCGAAAACTTTCAGAGCTGGGTTGGCAAACTATGGCCTGTAGGCCAAATCTCCCCCTTTCCTGCTTTTGTGAGTAAGGTTTTATTGGAACACGGCCATGCTCATTTCTTTAAGTATGTCCTTGGCTGTTTTTGCACTGCAACAGCAGGGTTAAATAGTTGCCACAGAGACAGTATGGTCAGCAAAGCTTCAAGTATTTACTAGCTGGTCTTTTACAGAAAAAGTTTATTGACCCTAGCATCATAGGGCAGTTAGGTAGTCACTGTCCTTTAGCCCAAACCCTATCAGAATCCACTTCCTCCTTGAAGCCCTCCTTGATGAGTATCATCTGGAATCATCCAGTACAGGCTGCCCCTTCCTACCCTCTTAGCCTAGGTGTGGAGTTGTCCATGCCATGGACTACGGTAATTTAGGGTAAGCTGTGTAATTAACAAAGAGAAATGGGGAGGTCTGCATGGACTGCAGGGGTGAGGGCTGAGGGCAAGGGCAGAGACTGATTTGGATCCTGAAGGACGCTACAGATGGGGCAGAGGCAGGACATTGTAGGTGAGGAAAAGGTCTGACCCAAGATGTAGTTAGAAAGGACCTTGGTGTGGGGCGTCCTCAAACTGCAGCCGGGGAGCCACGTGCTACCCACTGAGGACACCTGCCAGGTGTTTTTGCCACCTCTGCCTGTCCTGCTTAGCAGCTGACTCGTCCCACGGCCTGCATTCTGGCCCTCCAACGTTCTGAGGGATAGTGAACTGGCCCCCTGTTTAAAAAGTTTGAGGACCCCTGGTGTGGTGAGTAGGCAGAGAGAGTGGTATAGCTGTTGGGTCTGTCTGGAGCAAAGAATGTGTGTTGGGGATCCCGGGAAATGAAGCTGGTGGTAAAGAGTCAGACCAGATTAGCAAAAACCCAAAGGACATGGGAATCTAGGCTTGTGGTGGTGAGAAGTGGGGTGCTATTGTAAATTCTTGAGATTGGGGCGTAACATGGAAAAAAAAGTGTTTCAAGATTTTCTTTTCTTATTTTATCAATTGGTTGCTTTGTGATTGTTCTTAAATCACTTCACCCACAACAAGCTTTGAAACCAGAGCAAAATGAAGCTCTTAAGGACAGGACAGAGTTTCCTGTTTGTGATGCCTCCCAAGTAACTAGTCCTGAGTATTGCACCCTGTCCCAGAGCTGAAAGACAGGGCCTGGCTGTGCCTAGCTCCTGCACTTGACTTGGACAACTCAGCTGCCACTCTTAAATCCGAACATGCTCAGTTCAGTGCTATTTGCATCTCCATCTGGACCTGAGGAACAATCGCATGCTCCTTGAATGTCACAACAGTATATGGCTCAGGGCAAGCAGATTTCAGGGGAACGTGACATGAACAAGTCAGCATGACTTTGGGAGCCACCAGGCTAGGGTGTGGGGGCCACCCCACTTCTCACTCACCAGGGGTGATTCAAAGCCTTCTCACAGGTGTACCGCTCATTCGGGTCCTTCTCCAGCAAGTGGCAAATAAAATCCTTGGCTAGAGGGAACAAGCAGAGAGACACAACAACTAAGGACCAGATTTCATGACTGATGGAAATTCACTTCCGGGCTGGTGGGTGGCAGTGAATGCATCTTTAGCTAATCTTCCAAAGAGGCAATTTTGAAAGGCTTAAAAGAGAAAGAAAAAAAAAATTCAAACCACCTAAAAACAACCCACCACAAACCCGCAAAGAAGAGAGGCTCTAAGAGCCTCACCCACACAGAACCACGGAACATCGCCAGTCACGAGGCGCCATGTGCCTCACATCCCATGTGCGTGCACTTGCACTAAAACCCGGGCCAGCACTGGCACATGGGCACACATGTGAGTGCTGGGCTGCTCCTGCTCTGATTTCCACTTGACAGGCCCCACAGCACGCGGGGACCGTCTTCTCACACACAGAGATGTTGCACACTCCTTCTTGCTGTCTAGCCCCTTGGTTTTGCTGCTCCCGCCCAGAACACTCCCCTGCTGCCCGGCTCTCCCGGCCTCTCCTCTAAGCTGCCACCCCCTGCTACCACTTTACCAGGCATACTGTGGTTCTTCCCACAGAAAAACAAAGGCGTGGCCCTTAGATGTAAATAATTTATCTGGCCTTTGAGGCAGATGAAGATTTCTCCACTTTCCTTGGCAGCCTGGACTGTAAGATCCCTAGGGACTTTGAAGAGCCAGGACTGTCATCCCTTGTTAAGCAATTTCCTCTTGGCAACCACTGCCTCCAGCCTGTTATCTGTCTTTCACACCTATTGGCCTTACCTGACTCAGAAATGTCATCCCAGAACGGAGACTCAAACTCATAATAGCCCTCCTTGATCTTCTCAAAAAGCTTAGACTCAGTTTCCTCGTAGAAAGGGGGATACCCACACAGCCTGTAGTGGGACAGGAGAAAGGTACAGAGCTGAGCAACCCTGCCAGCCTCCCTCTCCCCCCAGATTCCCATTGTGCATACAGGTAGGCCAAAGGGGATCCCAGACCAGTGGTGTGACCAGGACATAGGTCTGCCTCTGATTCAGGAATGGTGCAGGGCCCGTAAAGCATTTATGCAGGCTCCAGGGCTTGGAACAGGCATCCCTGGCTGGCCCCTTTGTATGTTACTCCCCCTGACCCTTGCCACCACCTTCCCTGTATTCCCCCTGACTCTTGGGTGCTGTATAAAATAGATTTAAGAAGGTTGGTAGAATGCCCACTTGAATGTAAGTTTCACGAGGGATTTATTTAGACTGTTTTGTTCACTGCTCTATTCTTGAGCACCTACCCCAGGGATTGACGCAGAGTAGTCAGTGAATACGTGATGAGTAAATGAATGAGTGAGAGTAATTATTCAACGTAAACTTAGGAAAGCGAGAACTGAATTCAGCAAACATCTTACAGCAGGTTATTTTCCTAAGGGTGAGTTTGCTGTAGGCGAGAGGAATGGTGGAGAGGAGGTGATGAGCAGCTTAGGAGAGGGATAACTTGGGACAGCAAAAGAGTGACCCAGAGCGGCCCTGACCAGCTTCAGGTCACCATTCTGCCTGGAGAGAGAAAGGTGAGATGTAGGAGCAATGGGTCCACCGGACTTCCAAGCCTGGCTGGGCCTATCTCTCTTTTCACTGTTCATTCTACAGGGTGCGAGGAATTCCCGCATTCATTGACAGATGGTAGGGGTGGGATGTAGGAGAGGGGAGAGGAGCAGGGCAAGTGGTGGGGTCATGCTGGACTCGGTTTTTATAACTTGGTCAAGACAGAGGAGGTTTTGGAGTGGTGTACATGTGTGTGTGCACCTGTGTGCATGCTATGGTGGAGGTGTTGAGATAGCAAAGGGGAGGAGGAGGGGTGAATGGACTCTGGATTTCCTAGGAGCTGAGCCAATTCTCGCATCTACTCACAGTATGTAGGTGATGACACCAATGGACCAGCAGTCCACGGCCTTGCTATAGGGCTTCTGGGCCAGCACTTCCGGAGCTGCAGCACACCAAGGGCAGAGTCAGGGTTGGGGGCAAGAGGAGGGGGCTGAAGGTTGGGGAGAGGCATAGAGAAGAGGACTAGGGAAGATCAGGGGATGGTGGTGTTTCTATAAGCCTGAAAACTCCCCAAGGGCAGGGGCTGTGTCTCTTCCTGGAAGATAAATCTTCCTGCAAAGAGAGACTGACTTCTCCCTTAGACTGGGAGCTGCCTCTCAGTGGGTCCATGACCATCCCATCAGAACTGGGAGTCTCCAGGGCTGCGTCTTCCCATCAGACTGAGAACTCTCTGACAGCAGGACCGATGTCTCCCCACTCAGGCAGGGGATTCCCAGGGCAAGGGCTGTGCCTCTCCCTCAGGCAGCAAGGACTT